GACAGTGAATAGGAAGACCGTAGAAGAATTGATGCCTTTGAGTTACGGCATTGGAGGAGAATATTGACAGTGCCATGGGCTGTCAAAAGAACCAACAGATCCATTTTGGAAGAAGTGCTCCTTAGAGGCCAAGATTGCCAAACTTTGTCTCTCATACTTTGGACATATTGTCAGGAGGGCACAGTCACTGGAGAAGGATATCATGTTTGGTAAGGTGGAAGTTCAGAGAAAAAAGAGGAAGACCCCCAACAAGACTGACCGGCCAAGTGGCAGCATCGATGGACTCAAGCATGGCAACAGTAGTGAGGTTGGCCCAGGATCGGACAGTGTTTCATTCTGCCGTGTATAAAGTCACTATGGGTCGGTACCAACTTGATGGCACCTAACAACAACAACAACATGCAGAGCAGTCTGAGGAACCCGAGTTATGCCTTTTAAATCCATCTCTCACTGACAGGGGCCCGCCATTTCACCATCACAGTTCTGCCTTTTGGCTAAAAGCAAAACACTTATTACTAACATTTGTTAAGTCTCTGGTAGCGTAGTGGTTACAAATCGGGTTGCTAATCTCACGGTCAGCAGTTCAAAACTATTAGCTGTTCTGCAAGAGAAAGATGAGGCTTTGTGCTCCCGTAAAGGTTTACAGCCTCAGAAACCCTGTACAGGTTTGCTATGAGTCGGAACCAACTCCATGGCACATAACAACAACAACAACAATCCAAGGAGCTCTGGTAGCGTAGTGGTTACGAGTCAGGCTGCTAAACTCAAGGTCAGCAGTTAGAAACTACCAGTTGTTCTTCAAGAGAGAGATGAGGCTTTCTGCTCCTGATTTACAGCCTCAGAAATCCCATGCAGGGTCGCTATGAGTCGGAACTGACTCCACAGCACACCACCATGTCATCTTGGGGGAGTACAGTGGTTCCATAGGATAAGCATGGACTATGAACAACAAGGTTCTGCAGAAGAAAGATGAGACTTTCTGTTCCTGCAAGGATTTCAAGCCTCGGAAACCCCATGCAGGGTCGCTATGAGTTGGAACGAACTCCACGGCACTTAACAACAACATGTAATCCAGAAGTTGACACACTTTTTTCTGGAAAGGACCAGATAGCAACTATTTTAGACTTTAGAGCCCGTATGGTTTCTTCTGTGACTTCTCCGCTCTGCCACTGAAGCACAAAGTCAGCCATAAAAGGGAACAAAACAAACCCAATGTCGGGGAGTCAGTTCTAACTCAGACCTGCCCCAGAGGGTCCCCAAGGCTCTGAACATTAACAGAAGCAAACGCCTATGCCTCTCACCCACAGAACAGCTGGGGGCTCCAAACAGCTGATCTTTCAGTTAACAGCCAAGCCCTTAACCACTGTGCCACCAGAGCTCTTTAAAAGCAGCTACGCTGTTGCTGCTGTTAGGTGCCATCGAATCACTTCCAACTGATAGTAACTCTATGCACACAGAACAAAACACCGCCCAGTCCTGCGCCATGCTCAGTCATTGCGACATTTGATTCCATAGCTGCTGCTCCATCTCCTTTAGGCCTCCCTTTCTTTCACTGGCCCTCTACTTTACCAAGCATGATGTCCTTCTGCAGGGACTGGTCACTCCTAATAGTATATCTGAAGTATGTGAGGTCAAGCCTTACCATCTGGCTTCTAAGGAGCATTCTGGCTGTACTTTTCCTAAACAGATTTGTTTGTCCTGCTAGCAGTCCATGGTACTTTTAATACTCTTCTCCAACTCCATAATTCAAGTGCATCAATTCTTCTACAGTCTTCCTTTCAACTTTCATACACACTGAAAAATACCATGGCTTTAACAGTTATCAGGACTGATTGTGAGGGTTGGAAATGTAAAGGTAGACGTTTTGTAGCAAGGAGGGGAGTGATTAACTTTTCAGTCTAGGAGCAGTGATGCCTGA